AAACTCTTCACTTTTCATCACTTCACGGTGTTTTTAGCCGTCATTCTGCCATCATTCCCCTCCCATGAGTCATCAGGATTGTCTCTATTTTGCTGTCTTTTGCCCTCCTCCTCCTTTGTGGCCCTCCACCTCATCCTACTTTACTGTCAGGACCACATTCCAGTGAAATCCCTGTTGTTTGAGAAACTCCTGCACAGCTGATTGGAGAGGGACTCCATGAACCATCCAGCCCTCTGTAAGAATGCACTCGTGGTTATCAGTGGCTTTCTAGGCAAAATATGTAAACATGATGGGAGAAAATGCCTACCGTCGATATTGTGACAACAGAAAGACAAAACAAGAAATTCCGAATGGTCGTCTGTCAAATGACAGCCCTTGCTTAACCTCAGTGGCCCCCGCAGCACTTAGTGACAAGGCCTCTCCTCCCGCCTCTTTAGCCTCTTTACTAGGCTCCAAGTGTGTGACGAGGGGGCCCCTGACCTCTGAACCTTTAACCTGATTCAAACCCTGCCAGGCCGCCTTCAGGCCGATTGCACCGACAGACACAACATCAAGTCCATGAAGTTCAGCATCTCTGAACAAGATACAACATGTACTGTATTCAGCCTTTATGTGGTGAATGTCACATCAGCACCAGGACCCTCATGGGCTGAATGATAGCCTCTTATTTTCCTGTACAACAACAACATGGAAAAAAAGCCACACACTGGGAAATCACGCACACATCAGCACAACATCTCGGCGGGCCCCAACACAAAGAGGCACTGACACAGGCCAGAGCCTCAACAGGCTGAATCTAATTAGCTCTCATCTGTTTCTGAGAGAGCCCTTGTTAAACTGCAAACCTCCCGGCACCTGAGACTCAGACGCCACCCAGCTATGTTATGAGAGGCTGAAAAGATGTCTGCAACAGGGCAACCTGACCACGAACTGACATTTCTGGGAGAATAACTGAAACATTTTACTCAAAGTAGCAAAACTCTTAATAATCTTAATAAAACTGACTTGATAGTCTGATCAATTTCCTAAAAACGTCTCATCTGACATGTACAGCTCCGATGTTTTGTCTACACCTCTCCTAGGTTCAAATGATCTGAGCCAAGCTGCTGTATCGTGTCTGTGCCAGAGCTGATGCTGACGAAAAAAAAAACATAAATCTCTTGGGGCCAACGAGTCAGCTTTTAGTGCAGCATTCATTTCTGGCCTCACCTTACCGTACCAAATAAAGTTTCACTAGGTCATGAGATCTTAAAGCTGGAAAAACAAAAACAGCAACATCAAATCCGACTCAGTATCAGCAGTATCTGCCTTGAGGTATGAAAGTAGATAAGACTGGATTCACCAACTGGATGCAATATCAGCCAGATAATAAAGTTCTGAGTTTGTTCCACTGATAAAAATCCATGGGAAATAGTACACTGAACAACAAACCTTCTTTAAACACAAGAGTGTGTATCTTGTTTGTGTAAAGATCATTTTAGTTCCCACTTTCCACATGCGCTCGGTTTGTTTAACCAAGCTAATACAGGGGTTTTAATCTCACAGATTTATGGGTGGATCATTATTCACAGATCAAAGATGTTCTTCATAGAACACATTTACGAGACAGAGAATCAGGAAGCAATGATTTAAAATTTCCCAAATTAATAGCTTTTTTAGCAAAGCTCAGACTTCTTAAAGTAGCAACCACAAAAAGTGGTGTAAAGACTGGGCCAGTAGCTCCCTCTTGCTCCCCCTGCAGGAGTGACGATAGTCTTGCAACTCCATCATAATGATTTAACACAAAAATGAATAATGATTTAGTTTTAGAGACAAGCAACTGTGCACTTGGCGTGGGAAATGGACCATGTGACATACACGTCAGCCAGGACATAACAGTGGGACAGCTGCTTCATGCCTTTATACAAAATGCTGTTTTATTTCTCATAGTCATGCCTAGAAAAAATATCTCAAAAACACAATGTTGATTGTAGAAAATTATTATGTCAGAACACATCGATGCAGAAATATAAAGTTGTCAAACTTCACGCTGTTAAAGCAGGAATAAAAGAGTAAATCTGTTAACTAAAGTCTGTCTCAAAATGTACTTAATCATTGTGAGACAGTTGTGGGTCATAGAATGAGCGGTGTGTCTAACTGACTGAAGAGAGAGACCAATAAAGATCCATTAGCAGCAGAAACACGCCTCCATTCTTTGCAGAGCTGCACTACAGCAGCCACTCCCATCTCACCGCGATACGCAAGGTCGATGATGACTGATGTCCTTCGTCCACCAGCAGTGGCTTCGAGCTCCACAGTATTTGTGAAAGCGTCAAGGACTTCCCGTGAAAGCGTGAGAGGAGAATACCAAATTAAAGTGTATGGAGCACAGCTGTGCTGTTGACCTCTTCATACAGTGTGTGTGTGTACCAGGGTCAAACGTAGCAAGGACGTGAGGGGAGGAGTCACGGATGACTTTGAGAAATTGAATATTGGCTTTCAAATTCTCATGATGCACAGTTTTAATGCAAGATCCAAATGACCATAGTGGCTAAGGGTATGCAACAAATAACTCAAATATATTTAACAGCAACAACATGAAGTGTTGAAATAGCTCAAATTAAACAGTGAAATATGTAAAAGCCATAGCCATTGTACAGAAGCTTTCATTGAGCAACAGGATGACTCCATTTTAGACAGGAACTGGACTCTTTAGGCAGAGTAAAAAGTTTCCAAATTCAAATTTAAAAAGAAAAAAGAAACAATTATTGTGAGGATTCTATTAATTTCAAAAGCATTTTAAGTTCATTTTTTATGGATACTGAGTTGGTTTTAAGATTCTAATCTAAGGTTGAGGTTAGACTAAGGCGGGGGGATGCATTATTGTTAATGTTGTATAAAACT